CAGCACACTAACCAGCACAAACCTGGCTGCAGCTGCATGCAGCCCCTGCCACCCGCTGTCCCGAGTCTGCAGCATCAGCTCTGGGCGGGCCCGTGCTCTGCTCCCCGGCTGGTATGGATGCTGGCTCTCCCAGGCTGGTACCTGCTTGCTTAGGCTGGGAGGGGAAGGAGCTGAGCAATGGGAAGTGAGGCCAGGGAGGCTATGGAGGAATGGCTGTGGGGTGGAGGAAAGTGGAGATGTTTGAGCAGGGGACAGTAGGACGGGGGCAGGAATGGATGGGCATGCACAGCACAAGGTCCTGCTCCCTCTGCCTGGCTGGCAGGGGGAGGCAGAGGGACCCGAGGGCTGGATCCTGCCCAGATCTGCAGTTGAGCCGATCTCTGCTCTTGGCCAGTCTCTGTTCTCTGCCGGGGAAGGTCAGCAGTGTGGAGGTTTCTTTGTTCTCCCTGCTCCCAGCTGCACTGGCACTGGTCCCTGTGCGTCTGCAGCTGAGGGAAAGGTGGTTGGGGAGGACAGCTGGGAGCTGAAGGTGGTGGGAGGAGGCACGCTAGTCACTGGGGATTTGATGAGCAGCAGCTGGAGTCTCCAGACTACTTCTCCCCGCTCTGGCCATGCTGCTGCCCTCTCCCAGCCATGGACACCTGGGTGGGCTCCTGTGCCCTGGTACTGTCCCAAGGAGGGCCTGGTCCACAGTCCTGCCGGGTACACTGGGGTCACCTGGGTTGCTCTTGCTAAAAGTGTGCATGGTGACACTCCTGGCCCAGGACACTGCTCTCCGTGTTGGCTTTAGCAGCACTTTTGGTGGTGGTTAACAGCTGATCCCATTTATTGCGGGCATCTCCATTGCCGTGCAGTGGTGCTTGGACCCCGGCCAGGGACTGGGGTCTTGTGCTGGGTACTGAATCCACATTGCTGGATGGGTACTGAACCCACGTTCAATCCCCCTCAACTGCAAGGGCTTGTCTCGGGTGGGTTTGCCAGCCCCACAGCAGGGGTGTTGTCCTCCTGGGGTGACTTTGCCCTGTAGAGAGAGGCAGGACCTCAGCAGCATTGCAGCCGTCAGCTGGGGGATGCCTGGACCTGCATGGGCTTTGGTAGTTTGAGGTCAGATGTGCCCTGAGGACACAGACACATCCCCACCAGGAACCAGAGACTTCTCCAGACTGAGGTTTGCCAAGTCACTTATTCCTCTTTGCAATTCTGTGTGATGGCACCTGGTCTGGTGCAGCCCTGAAGCACATGTAAGAACCCAGCTCCTGGAGGGAGGAGATGGCAACAGCTTGCTGAGGGGATGCAGACCAAGGGTGGAATGGGTTGCACTGCTGCAAAGCCGGAGGACAACCCTGGGGTGTTACAGGCCATTCCCATGACTTGCCAGTGCTGCTCTTTGAGGCTAGCTGGTGCAGACGATTCCTGGAAGGTATGTATCCTGTGCTGAATTTCAGACATGCCCTTCTTCCTGGTTTTAGGTGCAGCTATCAGACACTGTGATGAGGAGAAGGGCTGGCTGGAGCCAGATCTCTTCAACTGCACTTCACCTGCCTTCAAGGAGCTCTCCGTGCTGGTAATCCCCCCTCAGCTCTGCAGCCCTGACAGGGCAGGAGCCGTACAAGCAAGGGCTCATAGCCAGGTTTCAAAGAGCTCAGCTCTCTGTGGGCATCTAGAGTAGGAGCGGGCCTTCTCACAGTGCTCAGCACCTTTCTCTTCCCATCTTCAGCCCCCAAACCCATCCTGTGGGAGCACTGGTCTGAGCTGAAGTTCACTTTGTTTTTGTCTCATCTCTTGAGTGTTCCCATCAGAAATGACCTGTGTCCTGCCCCAGTATTTAAGAGGAAAACAAATAACCCTGAGCAGGGCTGAATTGTTTGAAGCTGGCGGGATATCTGCCCCACGGGACACCTGTAATCCCCAGACCCTTCAGTGACAATCCCTTTGAAGTAACCAGGCAAGTTTAATAAACACTTGTATCCCACCGAGGCTGAATTGTAACTGAAGCCTGGAGAGTTTCCAAGCTAGGTGCTTGCCTTGTCCTTTCATCTCCTTGGCCTCTGTCATGTATGGTACTGGGTTAGCTGGGCCTGGCCAGCTTGACGCATTGCTGGAGGCTGTCTGCCAGAGATGCTCTCTGTTCTAGTGACCACCTCAGTGAGTGTCCCTGGCTTGTGCCATGGTTTCAAAAATCATCTCTGGGCCAAGCAGGGTCTGCAGGATCCCAGTTTCCCAGGAAGGAACCGCTTAATTGTTTGATCCCCTTCTTTTTCCCCATTGGCAGCTGGAGGGCTTAGAGAGGAATGAGACTGAGCTCAACACAATTGAAGCCAAGAAGCTGGCCCACCAGCTCCGGGCTGTGACAGACCACATGGACCACTACTTTGGCAACGACGTGCACATCACTTTCCGCCTGCTATCCCGCCTCATGGCCTTTGAGAGCCGGCAGCATGGCTTTGGCCTGACAGCCACGCAGGATGCCCATTTCAATGAGGTGAGTCCGTCTCCTGGATCTGGGTGGCTTCTGATGCTGCTTCTCTTTATCAGCCACCCTGAGCTGAGGGGGATCAAGGATGCTGTGAGACCACGTCAGGAGCACTAGGCTCACCAGTGCCACACAGACATTGACCCACAGGAGCAAGACCTGTGGAGGTTACCTGCGTGGTCAGGGCTGGAGCGTAGGGTGGATGAGGAGAGGCAGCAAGCTGGGTTTGCTCAGCCTGAGGAAGGGAGGGCAAAGGGAGGTCTTATTGCTGCCTGCAAGTCCCTCATGGCAGAGGTGCAGGGAAGATGTTTCTGCAGGACACTGGCTGATGAGCATTGAGGGTGGGGGTCTGTTGTAGCAGAAAGTACCCTCTTCTGCATCTGGGCAGAGAGCACAGTGCTGCAGCCTGGGGGTTGTCAGGACAGGGCCCAAAGGCAATGCTTCCCTCACCCCTCTGCCCCCATGTCTCTCCCATGCAGAACCTCCTGCATGCAGGCAGCTCCGTGCTGGCGCCCGAGAACCGGGAGCACTGGGCCATGCTGCCACACAGTGAGCACGGCAGTGCCAGCCTCATGGAGCAGCTGCGGGACTACTCGGGCACGCTGGCCAGCAACATGAAACTCACCTACCTCAACCCTGTCGGTGTTGTCACCCCCAACATCAGTGAGTAGGATCCAGCTGGTGTTGAGGGCTGGTTGGGGTGGTGCAGAGGCACTCTTCCATCACAGCCTGTCCCCTTCTCCTCATCTCACTGTACCTCAGCAAGGGTGATAACAGGCTCTTCTTCTCCATAGTGGCTCTCTCAAACATGGGGAGGTGTTTGTGAGAGACATCCTGATTCCACAACTGCCTGGAGCAGCACACACACCACCAAGAGCCAGCAGAGCCAGGAGTGTGCTCCCTACTCCCTGTTACCCCCAGTCCAACCTGAGTCTCTAGTGAAAAAGCCACTGGCCCCAGTGGCAGAGGTAGCCTGCCCTACAGCAGAGCAAGGATCTGGGCTGGGAAGAAGCGCTGTAGATGCTGGGATCTCACGTCATGCCCAACCACGGGACATACCTACAACTGAGCCTGCGGCTCATACGATTCTTTTGCTGATGATTTCAAACCTGGGGTGCTCTAGAGCATGGTTACTCTCCAGGTGTCCATCTTAGAGCTGACTTTCACTCCTTTGCTCCTCCACAGTGCTGAGCATCGATCGCATGGAGAACCATTCCCATATCCGCCGGCGCTACCCTCGATACCACAGCAGCCTCTTCCGGGGCCAGCCCGCCTGGGACCCCCACACCCATGTTGTGCTGCCGCTGTCGGTGCTGAGCCCCGCAAAAGCTGAAGGTGAGCCTGTGAGCATCGCTCAGGGAACAGCGTGGGTGGGCATGGAAGGGAAGATGTGCCCCTACTGAGACCTGGCTCTGTCAGAGGTCCATAAGTCACCTCTGGTAGCACAGAGCTTCTGACTTTACCACATCCCAAAGGCTCCTGGTGGGCTCACAAGCTGCCTTCAGAGCAGTGTGTGTTCTCACCATCCCCTTGTGTGCCTCAGCTGCCCCCGTGGCAGTGCCCACACCGGCTGGGGGCGAAGGGAACTACACTCTGGAGAACACCAGAGTACTGCCAGAGCCCGAGCCCGCTCTCACTGTGATCATCCTCATCATGTACCGCACCCTGGGGGGGCTGCTGCCTGCACGCTACCAGGTGGATCGCCGCAGCGTCAGGTATGTCCTGCTCCCCTTTGCCCTCCACAGTAGAAAGAAGCCAGCTGGACTCTGCCCTGTCCGGCAGTTGCTGAGTCTGTCCGCAATGGCTTGGGTTTGGTTCCCAGCCAGATGGTCCTGTGGTGCTCTGCCCCGTGTTTCCCAACCCTTTGGTGTGGGCTGGGCAGAGCGGTCCTTTCTGAGATGTCAATGCTGGACGTCTGGGAAGTCCCCAGAGGGCTGCAGCTGCCAGGCATGGTGAAGGCAGAGCTCTGTTGCTCCTTGCAGGCTACCCAAGAATCCCGTGATGAACTCCCCCATCGTGAGTGTGTCTTTGTTCAGCAATCACACCTTCCTGCGGGGGCCCCTGGACACCCCTCTCGTGCTGGAATTTCACCTGCTGGAGACGGCCAACAGGAGCAAACCTCTCTGCGTCCAGTGGAACCACTCCAACCCGTGAGTCGAGCACAGCTGGGCCTTTCTCTTTGAGCTGCTTTCCCTAGTCACCTCTTCATTCCCCGAGTTTCCCTGGCCATGACAGGCTGTGTGCCTGGACAGCACTGGGACATGGGGGTTTCCACTCTCTCCCAAGGGGTTCATTCATGGTGGGAGGGCACAGCAGGGTCCCTGCAGGGCTCTGGCTCCAGTACTTCAGCTGTAGGAGTGCAGTTGTATCTGCTGGTAGAAAAGCCTTGCCAATCACCCCTATTCTCTATGGTTCCTTCCCCACACACCACACTCATCTGTCTTCTCTCCTAAGTGCACTCTGCTTTTTGGTGGCTGCAGGACCAACCCCTCCGGCTTCTGGACAGCCAGGGACTGTGAGCTTGTGTACCGAAACACCACACACGTCCACTGCCAGTGCTCCCAGTTTGGCACCTTTGGGGTTCTGATGGACAGCTCACACCGAGAGGTAACCTTGGCCTGCGGGGCTGTGGGTGGTGGTGGAACTGTTAGGCACTGGGTCCCAGAATAAGCAGGTGCAGGCAGAAAATTCCCTGTGGGACACAAGTAGAGTTTGAGAGCTCAGCAGGCTTCCCACGTCTCCCTTAACACTGCCATTTGCCTTTTGGTTCTCTGCTGCTGCAGCAACTGGAAGGTGACCTGGAGACATTGGCAATTGTCACCTATTCCTTGGTGTCTCTCTCCTTGGTGGCTCTGCTGCTGACCTTCTCCTTCCTGACCTGCCTCAAAGGCCTCAAGTCCAACACACGTGGCATCCACTCCAACATATCAGTCACCCTCTTTTTCTCTGAGCTGCTCTTTCTCCTGGGTATCAACCGCACCGAGAATCAGGTCTGTGGGCTTGAACAAGCACACCTATGGGGTTGGAGCAAGGCGTGGGTGATGTAGTTAGTGTTGGCACAGTGGGACCATGTCTGAGTGGCTTTTGTCTCCCCAGTTTCTTTGCACTGTGATTGCCATCCTCCTGCACTGCTTCTTCCTCTCCACCTTCGCCTGGCTCTTTGTCCAGGGCCTCCACATTTACCGCATGCAGACCGAAGCCCGCAATGTCAACTTTGGGGCCATGCGTTTCTACTATGCCATCGGCTGGGGAGTGCCCGCCATCATCACTGGTAAGAGCTGCTTGTCCTACAGCCGTGCCAAAAGTGGCGGTTCTCAGCAGCCTCCTGATCCCCTGGTGTTGCCTGGCTCACTTACCATGTGCGGAGAGCTGAGGGTGGGCTTGCCACGGCCAGCAGTGCTGTTGTGGTCAACTGAGGACCACATATCAAGGGCTGTCATCTTGCCTTCTGGGGAGAAGTAATTACTCAGCACTTTTCCCCATGGCTTGTTTGATGGGCACAGGGCTTCTGCTGTCCCAGAGCTTGTGGTTAAGGTCTCCTGGTTTCCCAGTCCTGCACGCTTGGGTGACCTAACATTGAATGCCTGCTGGGCTGTGCTGTGTCAGGGATGCCTGGAGAAAACGCAATAAAGGCCCTAATGCTGGGCCTCGCAGTCCTACTCTTTAGAAGTAGTTCCCTGGGGCAGGGAAGACTGTGCACAGGGCAAGGAGCAGGGAGAGAGCCCCTTCATGGCCTTCAGTGCTGGGATGGGATCAACGTGGTTTGGACAAGTCCAAGGCTGCTGGGTCTGGACCTGACCTCTTCCTTCCTCCTGCAGGGCTGGCCGTTGGCCTGGATCCTGAGGGATACGGGAACCCTGACTTCTGCTGGATTTCCATTCATGATAAGCTGGTCTGGAGCTTTGCAGGCCCCATTACTGTCGTCATTGTGGTAAAACCCTGTCCTGTTTCACCCACAGCCCTCTCCTGTCTCCCTTCTCCGCACCATGGGCACTTGCCCCTTCTTGGCTGTCCACTGCCTGCCCCCTTCTCTGTACTCTCCTTTCTCCGTTAGAGGCCCTCTCTCTGTCCCTCCTCGCTCCAGCCAAACCCAGGGGAGGCCATGGCTAAGGTGTTAAGGGGAAGGGAGGGGATGTTCGCGTGGGCCTGGTGGACCCGGAGTCTGCCCACGCTCTGTGCTAGGGATGTCAGGTCAGAGCCAGCCCTTGGCACAGCTTCTAATCGGGGCCAATGCTTTCAGATGAATGGGGTCATGTTCCTGCTTGTGGCCAAGATGTCCTGTTCCCCAGGCCAAAAGGAGACCAAGAAGAAATCGGTTCTGTGAGTATTAGTGGCCAAACTCCCAGCAGAGCTCCTGTGGCTCATGGTTTTTAGCATTTTCAGTGACCATCCTCCCTCTTCCACCATCGCAGAGTGCATCAGTGTCAGCCTTGCAGCCGCTCTCCTGTCCCATGCCTGCCAGCTGCATTAACCCTTCCTAAACTTTGTCCTTTCTTCTGCATCTCCACACCATCCTGCAAGCCTGTCCCCCTTCACCCCCTACCCTCACACCCCTCATGCCTGCTTGCATTCAACACTCTGCCCTTGCCGACTCTCAGCATCTGCTTCTTCTTCTCCTACATGCTCCTTCTGAGACCTTTGCCCACTCCCTCCTGGGCCAGCCCCGGAGCTTGGCTCAGCTCTCTGTGGCTCCAAATGACCTGTGTTGTTTGGGCCCCTGGGTTTGCCATGTGTGATCCAGAAGGGAAGGCCTGGGAGCCCGGGGGAGCTGAAGCGCTGTGCAGGGATGTGCCTGCAGTGCTGGGCACAGCAGGGAGGGCTGGGCAGGAGCGTGCTTTCCCCTCTGGATCTCTGTCTGTGAGCACTAGACTGTAGATTAACAATACGCACTAACCTCTCGGTGTGTGTCTGTGTGCCTGTCTGTCTGTCTCTCTCTCTCTCCAGCATGACGTTACGGAGCTCCTTTGTTCTGCTTCTAGTTATTAGCACTACCTGGCTCTTTGGCCTCTTGGCTGTCAACAACAGTGTCCTGGCTTTCCACTACCTCTACACTGTCCTCTGCAGCTTCCAGGTAACTGCCCAGCCTCTGCCAGGGGAGGGCACGAGTCAGCCCAGGAGGGCATCCCTGTGGTCCACACAGCCATCTGTGGAGAGCGGGTGCCCTGCACTGAGCCCCCAGCTTCCTCCTGGGCTCTTTGTCCCTTCTACTGTCACCTCTGCAGCACGGGGTGACTCCTGCCTGTCCTTGCTCCTGTGCCCGTGGTGAATGGTGGCATGGAGCAGGAGGTGGCTACAAGGAGCTTGGTTGAGAGGTGACATCCAAGGGGTAGCAAGGACCATCTATGGAGGGAAGGGCTCTCCATACTCTCAGAGGGCAGAGCAAGAGAGCAACCTGCAACAGAGGTGTCAGACACCCCAAATATGACCCATGGCAGCACCCTGCAGACTTCCTGCCACCACTGTGGCTAGAGGTGCCCCTGCCAGCTGCTCCTGGCTCCTGCCAGCCAGAAGGACAGCCCACCCTTTCCTCCCTTCACCCATGGCCACCATGGGGGTTAGCACCAATCAGTGTTGGGGGGCTGTTTGGTGCATCCGAGTTCTGGTGGCCACCAGGGCTGACACGCTGGGCTCTGCAGGAGCCAGGAATTATGCTGGTGCTGGCGCTGCAGGCGAGCAGGTCGGCCGGCAACGAGGGGCTGTCTCTCACAGTGTCTCTTCCCGCAGGGTCTGGCTGTGCTCATCCTGTTCTGCGTGCTGAATGAGGAGGTGCGGGAGGCCTGGAAGCTGGCCTGCCTCAGCAAGAAGGGGCAGAACGAGGAAGCCACGAGGAGCACGCAGGTGGGTGAGAGCAGGAGCAGCCCAGGGATCTGGGGCAGGCTGCCTGCCCGGGACAGGAGCTGACATGGATGTCCCCGCTTTCCTGGGGGAATGGCAGGCGTGGGTGGGAAGGCTATTCCCTGGGCTGCTGCGGCAACTTCTTAACAGGGTGCGTGCTCTCTCTCCCCACCTCGCCAGGGTCCCAATGCCTACAACAACACAGCGCTGTTTGAGGAGAGTGGGCTCATCCGCATCACCCTGGGGGCTTCCACCATCTCATCAGTGAGCAGCGTGCGCTCTGCCCGCACCCACTCCAGTCAGCGGGCTTACCTCAGGTAGGGAGCAGTGCAGGGCTCTGGGGTGCTGGGAGTGCCGGGGCAGAGCTGGGGGCTCCTGCCGCTGTGACTGTTCGGGCCTTCTGTCTTTCAGAGACAACGTGACAGCACGTCAGGGCTCGGCCCTAGATCACAGCCTGCTGGCTCACGCTGGCCCCACAGACATCGACGTGGCCATGTTCCACCGTGATGCTGGGGGAGGTAAGGCTCAGCCCAGTGCCTGGGTTCGGGGTTGACCCCATGCATCCCGAATTAACTCCTAGCATAAGGAAATCCTTTCTGGTGCAGGCTCTGGCTGCACAGTTACATCCTTCACCCCGTGTTGGGCTGTGACTCCCAAACATGCCATGGATATGAGGGAGAGGCAGCAGCTGTGTTGCTTAGCACAGACTCCTCCCAGACAGATGGCAAAGGGCATAGCCAGTCTCCAGGGAGCTAGAAATGGAGGAGGCAAGAGTGGGGGCACAGGCTGTCACAGGGTCCCTGAGGACACTGGGTTCCCCAGTACAGCACAGGCCCTGAGCCACTGGAGTGAGACTGGTGGGAGGCACCCTCACGGCACATGGGACAGGCAAGCAGAGGCTGAGGGAGGTGTGTTTCCTCAGCCTGGAGGAAGAGGAGGCAAAGGGGATCTTATGGCTATTTGCAACTGCCTTACAGGGAGGTGCAGCGAGATGGAGCCAGGCTCCTCTCAGGGGCGCCTGGAGAAAGGGCAGGGGGAGCAGGTGCAGGCTGCTGCTGAGGGAAGGGCAGTGAGGGGTAAGGCAGGCTGTTGTCCTCACGAGGGTGGTCAGCCCTGGGCTGGTTCTGCCTTCCTGGAGGCAGTCAGAGCCCAGCTGGCCCTGCCACCAGGAGCCTCCCCCGCCTTCATTCCAAATGTCTCCCCAACACACACCGTGTCCCTGCAGACCAGGACTCAGACTCGGACAGTGATCTGTCTCTGGACGAAGAACGCAGCCTCTCCATCCCGTCCTCGGAGAGCGAGGAGAACGTGCGCCTGCGGGGCCGCTTCCAGCGCCAGTTCAAGCGGGCGGCACACAGCGAGCGCCTCCTCACTAACCCTGCCAACACCACTCCCAAAGGTAAGTCCCAGGGGCTCTGGCAGGGGAAAGGGTGAGCTCACGTCTGCGGGGGCCAGGCCATGCCTTGCGATGGCTTCGTTTGCCCCTTACAGAAGTATTCTCTCCCTCTTCCCCTGGGCCCCTTTTGCTGTGTCCTTTGCCAGATGTGGATGGCAATGACCTCATGTCTTACTGGCCAGCTCTGGGCGAATGCGAGGTTCACCCCTGCTCCCTGCAGAAGTGGGGCTCTGAGCGGAAGTTGGGGTTTGACATCAACAAGGACGCAGCCAACAATAATCAGCCGGACCTGGCCTTGACCAGTGGGGATGAGAACTCCCTCACCCAGACCCAACGGCAAAGAAAAGGTAATGGCCTGGAGCAAGCAGGCAAGGGTAGCCTTGCCTGTCTCAGGTTGACCTGGCCCCGGAAGGCTCAGCAACAGATCCATCTTGTCGTGTCCTTGGGGAGGTATGGCTTATCTCCCCCGGCTTTTGTGCTTTTTTTACTGTTACACAAAGATTTGACTTCTCTTTCTGTCCGGTGCAGGGATTTTGAAGAACCGCCTCCAGTACCCTCCGACTCTCCAAGGCCTGCCATCCGTTGGCAGGATGACCAATGAGCTAACATGGTACAAGACCTCCACACTGGGTCACAGGGCTGTCCCTGCTGCCTCCTACGGCAGGATCTACTCTGGGGCGGGCAGTCTGTCACAGGTCACGGGAGCAGCTTGACATGCTGATGAGGAGACAGATGTCCCGGGAGCAGCTGAGCAGACACAACTCAGGAGAGTGCTTGGAAGCTGTGCCCAGCCGGCATGGGTCCAGGGAGGAGCTGGACACTATCCCCAGCAGGCATGGGTCTACTGAACACTTGGAAAGTATCCCGAGCAGACATGGGTCTAGGGAAAACTTGGATCTACTTGCTGCTAGGCCCAGTCAGAGAGATCATGGGAACACACTGCCACGGAGGCAGGGCTCCAGAGACCACCTTGAGACTTTACCCTGCAGATTTGGGTCAAGAGAGCAGCTAGACTGTGGGTCAGTAAGAGAGGTCTCTAGAGAGTGGCTAAACACCTTGCCAAGTAGGCATGTGTCCAGAGACCGGATAGACACGTTGCCAAGTCGAGATACTTCTCGAGAACAATTGAATTTGCTTTCTAGAAGACAACCTTCAAGGGACCAGCTAGCGTCGGCTAGACAAACTTCAAGGGAGCAGCTGGACTTTCTCTCCAGAAGATCTAATTCCAGAGAGCCTCTGGACACAGTGCCTAGCAGGCATCCGTCGCAGGACAACCTGGGGAGTCTCTCTAGGAGGCAGCTGTCTAGGGAAAGCCTAGAGCCACTGTCAAGGAGACAGCCTTCTAGAGAGAACCTGGAGGCCGTTCCCAGCCGACATCCTTCCACTGAACAGTTAGATATCCTTTCTTCCATCCTTGCTTCTTTCAACTCCTCCGTCCTGTCTTCGGTGCAATCTTCCAGCACGCCTTCAGGCCCCCAGACCACTGCCACCCCCTCTGCCATGCAGACCTCCTCGATGCCCTCCGCAATGTGCCCCTCGACGCCTCGCTCCACCACCTCCCACAGCATTTCAGAGCTGTCACCAGACTCAGAGTAAGTGTGTCCCTTCCTTACCTGGGCCTTGTTCAGCTGGTCTTGTGCATCGTCCAGCTGCCTGGCTTCTTTCCAAAGAGGGTTTGGTTGGGAGAGTGTTTGTGTGGGGGGGGGGGGAGCTGTGTAAGGGGTAGCCCCCAGGGTGTCTGACAGGTGTCCCCTAGTCCTGAATAGTGACCCGGCAGGGAGGACCCTTGGGTGTGACAGCTCCAGGCCCTTGCAGTGTGGCGTGAGCAGAAACATCAGTGTATTTGAGTCTGCCTGCTCTGCTAGAAGTGATGGCTCTCACTTGTGGGGCTCAGGGAAGATGCTTCGTGTAGCCAGGCTGACCTTACCCCCAGGGTGTCTGACAGGTGTCCCCTAGTCCTGAATAGTGACCCGGCAGGGAGGACCCTTGGGTGTGACAGCTCCAGGCCCTTGCAGTGTGGCGTGAGCAGAAACATCAGTGTATTTGAGTCTGCCTGCTCTGCTAGAAGTGATGGCTCTCACTTGTGGGGCTCAGGGAAGATGCTTCGTGTAGCCAGGCTGACCTTATGACTGGGTCCCTGGCTCAGTGCCGGCTGTAAGTCCCAGCGAGAGGATGTGTGTGAGGGCCAGGCTGGCTGGAGGGGAGGAGGGGGCCCAAGTCCTATGGGAGCCCTGCCTGCCCCAGCCACGTTTCTCCCCAAGGACCCTGTCCCAGTCTGTCATTTCTTCTCCAGCTCTGCTCCCTGCTGGTGCTGCTCCCATCCCATCTTTCCTCTTCCCTAACTCAGGGGCTTGAGACAGTTGTTCCTGCCCTCACACAGGAGTGGGTTTCTGCCCTGTCCCCATCTGGCATAGCTGGGGGAAGCAGTGGGAGCCCAGGGGAGATGCCACGGCTTAACGCTGTTTTTCTTTCCTCCGAGAAGAATAACGAGAAACGAGGGCCATTCCTGAGGGGCTGAAGCTGTCCGCAAGAGAGACAGAAGAAGCAGGGCCCTTCGCCTAGCCAGGCACTGCCAGCTGAGGTTTGGTGTCCCCAGGGGGCAGGGGCCAGAACTGATGGTGGTCAGAGGCCCAAAACCGACCCTGCCTTCCCCTGC